TGTTCTAGACTTATCAATATACTGCACTCTTCTGCTATCCTGAAATGTGCCCTGTGAGAAAGCTACCTCGAGACTGGTTGCTGAGTATGCCCGGGGAAAAGGCCATCCTGGGCCGTCGACGAATGTCAGAAAGAACGCTGCACTCATCGGCCCGAGCAGACCGGATGCTGTCAGTCAATATGGGCCGCCTTTCTTGACTCGATTTAGCTGGCTACCTTGAGCCAATGTCGGCACGAGGACTGTGTGAGTGCGTGGAAGCCCATCTCCACGCCTCACTGAGCATCGGATCTTGACGAAATGAAACCGCCCAATGTTGTGGGGATCTTTCGCCAAAGCTCGAGCCGACGTGATCTCAACACTCACTCAATCTGCTCTGACCGATCCCCGCTCCATATAGAAGCGTCTCGGCGGTGTAGTCAGGATGCGCATATGATCATGCACCATAGCCCGAGCCAGGGTTGTGAGGTTCGCGATTGCCTGACTGTATAATACCAGAGAAGAGTGACATTGTCTGAGGTAATTTCCACACGCCATTTTCAACATGCTTTGGGATTCAATGATTCCGCTACTACGACAGCACATACATAGTCGCCATCATGGCTCACGCTGGCATGTAGGTTTGTGGCCCGTCCTCGATCGGGGGATAGTAGCCGCAGTACAGGCTTACCCTCGAGCGCATCCGAGGGTCCGTACGCAAGCTCTTTCCATGTCAAGCGTTTTGAAGGATACGCGGCCTTATAGGCCGCTTCTTTCAATGCCCATCTAGAGTGTACCATTGAGGATACGTAGCTATGACACGGGAGCATGAGGTGCTTACCTGACGGCAAGAAATCTCAGCCGAGCGTCCGAATTGGAGAGTCCATCGTACAGGGTATGCTCAGGTGGGCTCAGGATGCGTGCGGCCAGTCGCGCGGAACCGCGTCGACTGGTCAAAGCTTTCAAGCGCGGCACATGCAGAATGTCAATGCCTACGCCGAACATCTGCGGGGCGATGCGCCCAATACGCCGGGGTGGTGGTTCGAAGACAAACCTTCATGTTCAGGTGTCCACAGGCGTAAACAGCGCATCGGCCGACCCGGCGTTCGGGCCGATCCTCTCAATTGACTCGCCACGAGCTTTAACCGCATCAGTTACTTTCAGGTTCCTCCCGACTGCTCTTGTTCAAAACTTTGAGTAGAGCACAGTGCCTATCTCTTCGAGTCATCTTCACTACTGAGTGACGTCTGACTCTGTCTGATTCTGCTCGAGCATTGCTATATCTAGAGTTCAATATCTGCTCTAAGACGACTTGTGGCGCCGTAGCTCAAACATACTATGCTTCGTTCTACTTCGCGTCTGGCCCGCTTGCGTGCAACGCGTGTCACTGCTCAGCGGTGTGCCTCATCTAGCGCGGCTGAGATACAGTCTGAGGTGCGTCATATCAATGATTCCCTGGACCGCACTTCCTTACCCTTTATTCCCAGTCAGCACCAAAATCTGCATATGCGTTGCCCAAGGCACCTAGCACCACCTACAAGAACATATCACACCCAATTCCCTCTCCGGAACTCGGCCAAGCGTCCAAAGCTACCATTGAGAAGGCCACGCACTATGTTCTGCCCGTCTACGCGCGGCCCGATGTTGTACTCGCTCGTGGAGAGGGCTGCACTGTGTGGGATGAAGATGGGCGGGAGTACCTCGACTTCTGCGCGGGTATCGCGGTGAATGCCCTTGGACACTCGGATCCTGGTGTTGCGGAGGTACGTCGTCTTTTGATGGCCGTACATGACAGAACGTATTTTCTCACTGGGTGAATGATAGGTTCTCCATAAACAAGCCAGTACACTATTGCATACATCAAACGTCTTCTACCACAAGCACGCGTCCGAGCTCGCAGAGAAGCTTGTGACTTTGACCCAGCGCGAAGGCGGCCTCGGCTACCATCCCTCCTCGCATCCGACAACCGCGCCGGGAGCGAAGGTTTTCTTCGCGAACTCGGGTACCGAGGCGAACGAGGGCGCACTCAAAGTCGCTCGTATGGCAGGCAAGGTCCGCGGCGGGGAGCGCAAAATCGGCATCGTGAACTTTGAGGGCAGCTTCCATGGTCGCAGCATGGGTGCTTTGAGCGTCACGAGCAACCCGAAATACCAAAAGCCCTTTGCGCCACTCATCCCGGGTGTGCACACCGGAAAGCTGAACCAGCATGAGGGTCTGAAGGAGCTCATCAACGACGAGACGTGTGCAGTCATCCTCGAACCGATTCAAGGAGAGGGCGGTGTCAATGTCGCTGATGTCCACTGGATGTCCGAGGTCGTTAGGCGCGCGCGGGAGGTCGGAGCCGTTGTCATCTTCGATGAGATCCAGGTGCGTTCCGTTTTTACTTCTGTGGATGGCGGCGTTGGTGGGATCTACGTTCTCTTACGGAACGGTAATCCGGAAACGCAAAACAGCCAACACCATCTCGCAGTTCGCAGCCGGAAATGCTCTGCATCACACAATGTGCTTTATTCACCGGCTTCCGCATCCTGCATGTGTGCTACGAACATGGGTCGAGGCCCATCTCGTCTTCGGCGGCCAATTGACTACGCGTGATATGCTGATGCTTCTCGCAGTGCGGTCTGTACCGAACAGGCACCCTATGGGCACATTCGACATACCCACAGGACTGTCAGCCGGATATCGTGACCATGGCCAAGCCACTCGCAAACGGTTACCCCATTGGCGCGGTGCTCATCCGTGATGAGGTTGCAGAGGTGATGAGTGCGGGTACGTTTGCGTGTCGGTCTCACTGCTGTGTGAACAGGGACGCTGACTTGGTACCGCCCTGCACAGGTACTCACGGTACGACCTTTGGCGGTTCCCCGCTTGCGTGTGCAGTTGGCAGCCACGTACTGTCGCGTTTGAGCGATCGCGCCTTCCTCGGCCATATGGCGGAGACGTCGGCTTACCTCCTTGCTCGGCTCGAGCATCTTGCGGGTTGGTTCCCCAACCTGGTTGCCCCGAAAGTGCGGGGACGCGGTTTGATCCTTGGGCTTGTGTTCAAGCGTGAGGGGGATCCCGGCAAATTGGTCGAGCTTGCGCGCGAGCGCGGTGTGCTTTTGCTCACGGCTGGCAAGGACGCTGTGCGACTTGTCCCAAGCCTGAATGTCACGCACGCGGAGGTAGACAGGGCCGTGGACGTGATTGAGAGTTGCTTGGGTGTAATGTAGGCTTGGACGTAGGATCACGGTTCCTGTATCTGTGCACGCCCGAAAATATACGAGATTGGAGGCCGCTGATTGGCCGGAGTCACTTTACCGACGTGTTTCCCGCGCTTACCCGGCCGTCGGTAACAACCTATAATACAGAGCGTGAATCACGATCCTGCTCTGCCGTCTCCCGTCACCACCTACCAACGCATAGCCATGGACAAGCTCTCGTCGCTTGCCAGGTTCTCCTCCTCGTGCCCCTTCCTGGGCCGCACCCAGCCATCCTCTCTCCGCTCGCTGTCGACCACCGCCTCGGCGCAGTTTCCCGCGCTCACCCGCCTGACCGAGAAGGCGACCGAATGCCCGATCATGGGCCCGGCGCTCACCAAGCGCTCTGGCCAGAAGGTCGCCGGTTACGCATCCGTTGCCGCCACGTCCGACGTCCAGAAGCTCCACCAGGACAAGGGCATCTCCGTCACCGACGGCGACATCGCCAAGTGTCCCCACGCCGGCAAGGCTCTCGCTGCCGCTCGCATGGCCGATCAGCTTGCGGCCGCCAAAGCACGTAGCGACGCTCTCAAGAAGGCTCAGGCGCAGGCCGCCGCGGCTCCCCAGCAGGCGACCCCGACCGCTGCCGCGGCGGCGGCCGCTGGCTGTCCGTTCGCAGCCAAGGCCGCGAGCGCTGCCGCCCTACCCGAGGGACACCCGAAGGTGCCCGGGTTCGACTACGAGAAGTTCTACGCCGCGGAGATTCAGAAGAAGCACGACGACAAGTCGTACAGGTACTTCAATGAGATGAACCGGCTCGCCAAGAAGTTCCCCATCGCTCACACCGCCGACCCATCGCACGAAGTCGAGGTCTGGTGCGCGAACGACTATCTCGGGATGGGCAACAATCCCATCGTGCTTGAGACCATGCAGTGCGTCACGCTTCTATTCATGTTCACACGTCCACGTTCTGATTGGCTTTAAGCCGCACGCTCGACAAGTATGGTCATGGCGCCGGCGGCACGCGCAACATCGCAGGAAACGCATCCTGGCATCTGAACCTCGAGAAGGAGATCGCTGGTCTGCACCGCAAGCCAGCTTCCCTTGTCTTCTCGTCCTGCTACGTCGCCAACGATGCTGCGCTTGCGACGCTCGGCTCCAAGCTCCCCAACGCGGTCTACTTCTCCGACTCCATGAATCACGCTTCTATGATCCAAGGCATCCGTCACTCGGGCGCGAAGAAGGTTATCTGGAAGCACAACGACCTCGAGGATCTCGAGAACAAACTCAAGGAATGGCCCCTTGACACGCCCAAGATCATCGCATTCGAGTCGGTCTACTCGATGTGCGGCTCTGTCGGCCCAATCAAGGAAATATGTGACCTGGCGGACAAGTACGGTGCTATCACTTTCCTCGACGAGGTAAGCATTCCAGTCATCCAACCACTTGAATCGCCTTGGTAACATCCATATCAGGTTCACGCAGTCGGCCTCTACGGACCCCGCGGCGCGGGTGTCGCCGAGCACCTTGACTACGAGGCGCACAAGGCGGCCGGCAACTCGGTTGAACCGATCCCCGGCACCGTCATGGACCGCATCGACATCATCTCCGGTCAGTATTTTGGGAGTTTTGCCTCCGTTTTCCGCAGCATCTGACGCCCCACTTCTCCCATAGGCACACTGGGCAAGGCATACGGCGCTGTTGGTGGCTACGTCGCGGGCTCTGAGAAGTTCATCGACATGATCCGCTCGTACGCACCTGGCTTCATCTTCACGACATCGTTGCCCCCGGTCACCGTCGCTGGCGCACATGCATCCATCGTTTACCAGAAGGAGTACAACGGCGACCGCAGGCTCATGCAGTGGAACGTTCGCGAGGTCAAGAAGCGCTTTGCAGACCGCGGCATCCCCGTGGTTCCTGGTGGCAGCCACATCGTGCCTGTCTTCATCGGTGACGCTCAGCAGGCAAAGGACGCTAGCGACTACCTTCTCGCGCGTCACAACGTCTACGTTCAGGCGATCAACTATCCGACAGTAGCTCGCGGCGAGGAGCGTCTCCGCTTCACGATCACCCCAGGCCACACGCAAGAGCAACTCGAGCGTGTCATTGACGCTGTCGACGACACGTTCACCACGCTCGGTATCAAGCGCGAGGCTGACTGGGCCGCTCTCGGTGGTCGTTGTGGTGTCGGCGCGGAGATCCCCGTCAAGGTCGAGCCCGTCTGGTCGGATGCTCAGCTTGAGCTCGGTACTGCCACTCAGCCCCGCACGCGCCGTGACGGTGAGGTCCGCTACGTTGAGCCCCGCGCGGTCGCGATCTCGCGCAACCGCTTCTCGCGTCTCTTGGACGAGCAGAAACGCAACGTCGTGGATGACTTTGCTGGCATCCGCATGCAGACCGGTGCTGCGCCGAAGGCTATCCTGCCGGAGGTCGAGATCCCGCTCGCTGCACCGATGTCCGCTAGCGCGTAGGCTCGCACCGCACCCATCGTTCTTTACCCATCTTTTGACCGCATTTCGTCGTAATGAGCGTTTCGATATACCGTTCTGACAGTTGCACCATGTATTATCTATTCAACTTTCTCCATCCGCATTGTCTCGATAGGCTATGCGTAGACATGTATGCGTTGGCGGCGTTGCAATATACGTTCTGCTATAGCGCTCTTTCTCGTAATATCTGTGCGATGTGTGAATCTGGGGTGTCCGACACGGCCAATTACCTCCCGGTTCTGTGCAGGCGATCGAGCGCCGCCTGTCACGGCAAAGTTTTATGAAGCGTCTTTTGTACCCGGTCAATCCTCACTAAGTAGTTGATAACGGACCACCATATCGTCGCCTCTTCCGACACCGTAAGGGCTGTGACTGTCATCAGCATCGACGCGCCTTTGGGGGATGTTGGCTGCGCTTCAATTCATTCTGTATGCCGCGTTGAACTCCTGGGAGTTTGTGGCACTGGGCGCTTTCCTTTTTTCGTCATGGTATAAAGCGGGGCCTGCCACTCGGCAACCATCATCCCGTCCCTCGCGAGCGCTCTACTATAGACCACACCCTGTGCGTCGACGGACGTCCCGTTATTGACATTGCATCGCTGACGGATTTCACCTCGGCTCCCTTAGATTATGGAGACGTTGGAAGAACAGAATGCCATGGCTGGGCTCCGCGCGATGGCAGCGCGAGCCGTAGAAGCTGGTATGAACGCGTTTGCGCCCGAAAAGTGGCCTCGAGACTCGAGGGCGTACTGGTCCAAAAGTCAGAACGTCTTCGCGCACCGTTTACGTGCCGATCCCGTGGGCCAGCTACAGCACATCCGCAAACTTTGGAAGTCTCGCCGGCGTGGTAAAATCTCGACGGACAGCGAACTGTTCCGGGTCATGGACGTACTTGGGGAGCGATTCGTCAATTCGCAGGAATATACTATCGCGAGGTCCCTAGCATGTCATGTTGACACGGATCTCGGGTTTGATTTTTGGGAAGCTTGCGTCAAGACGGAGCTCTTGAGCCTTCTCGTCGAGATTGTCACGGACAGCGAGTTCTCCGGTCAACCAAGGGTACGCGCATTCATATATCCCACGCACGTCTTACTGATGTACGGTCAGGAGTGGATGGAATATGTCCTACAATGCTTGACTGGGTTCCTCTCTGTCTGGTGCCAAGATGTCAGCCCTCAGTCTAAGCGCCTAAGCTCGAGGATACCGTCATACGACAAGCCAATGCCTAAGCCTCAAATCAAGGCGTTCATGTTGCGACTAGAAGAGGTCTGCCAGTCACTCTGGAATGTACGGGAGACTTTGCATAAGGGTGCCAGGAGTTGCCCTCCTCGTCTCAGCGCGGAAAACGAAGCCAGCTATCGGATGTACTTGCTGGAGGTGTTCATCTATGGAGTCTCTTTTCTACTCAAGTCCAAACTGTGAGTCTATTCTCTATCCTCTTCATGCGCCCGGAACTGACCCTTCCGTCAGACATATCAAGCAGGGACCTGTTAGGATGCTTGTGTTCCTCAGTACATACGCATGGACTCGCCAAGGCGTCGATTCGCCGAGTTTCTTGAACGGCATAATGGGAGAAATGTGGGACTCCGGAGGTGCCCTTGAGATATTCGCTGAGTACGATGGCGAGGGTGTGCACATTCCAGAAATGATGCTTGAGGTCGGATTCGAGCCTATACTCGAACACATCAACGCGGGGATTCAGGGCCCCGCGCCTGGGGTACACCCTATCGGCGGACGACTCTTTCAGTTCGTATATCTCGCCAAGCTAATGCTCAATAACGCCGAGCTGCTTCCGAAAGCATGGCCTGCCTTTTGCAAGTTCCCGCTGCTCAAGAATATATCCGACGCATATCAGCTCGACGTGAAACGCCGCATGAGCGAACGAAAGGACGTTCTGGATGAGCTGGGGACATGGCTCGCCTGCTTCATACACCTCGCGTATGTTCCGGCTCATCTCTACCTATGACCAAACCCCTCTCACGCACTCAGTCTGTCTCTCAAGGCACTAGTGAATCATGAGATTCAATCGGGTTGGGTACGCGCAGGTGATGTGATGTTTATGTATGCGCGCGGATTCAAGCTGGCCTTAACGGTCATGCAACGCAACCCGCAATCCGGAGGATGTCAGTATCTCGATGATATCTATACATATCACTCTTAAACTAACGAACGCGCACATGTCTAGTGGATCCTGCAATCACGAAGTACCTCCTCATGACTATAGAGTCCTTGTTTGAGGGGATCAACAACTATAAACTCGACCGTCCTAACGGTCTTCCTGCTTCCTTGGTAAACGATCTACGAAGCAACGCCAGCAGGCAACAGTGGAATGCGACATTGCTTTCCATTCGCGATGCGCGATCGTACGGGAGCTTGTATCCCGAGTACCAACTGATCGATCAGTGGTGGACACGGTTCGGCGCAGAATTGGGCTTCAGCGAAGGAGCCGCGGAAAGCCAACGCGAGCAGATGCACTTCTGCGCTTCACCTTCTTGCCCACTACACAACAAGCCCTCTGCCGAGCCTTTGCGTATCTGCACGGGATGCAGACAGATGTATTATTGCTCTCCAGCTTGCCAGAAACTGTACGTCCTGTTCGCTCACATGTACCTTTGATGATGACATTGACGAGCGCTTCAGAGATTGGAAGGCAGGGCATCGCACCAAATGTCGCGAGTTATCTTCATAGAGACGAAAGCGCATATTTTCTTGGACCGCAGACTACACATACATTGCATGATCACTAGAACAGAGTGGCTCGTCATTTACTGGTATCAGTATTGTACGGGGACCAGCAGGTGGAATGAATCGGTAGACTATCAACAATGCCTGCCAGGGACTCGGCTAGACTTCATGCGTTTCCTCCCTCCCAACTGTGTTTCACTTCGCTCATATCGCACATACTCTATACCACATGCAGATATGGCACAAATGGGCGGAGTTCGCGGAGGTCCCCTTCATCAACATCGCGCAGCACGCCCGGTGCTCTCTCCAGCGTGATGGTGCGGATAGGAATGCCGGCGAGCGCACGAGCTCTCAACATATCAACGAGGGCCTCCATATAGGATATGTAACCCGAAGATAGTCGTATCTTCAAATATCGCATGGAGGGTAAGACCAAATGAGTATGTGGTGTTGGCCCATTGCTGTCCACGTTCTCCGGTGTCAAGGGTTGCATTGCATGACATATGACTTCGAGGTAGTTGTCACTGACGTCCAATTGCAGGCTGTGCGGGAAGATATCCAGTAACCTCTGCCATCCATGGTTCTCGGTAGAGTCTGCCGACCAGTGATAAAGAGATACACCGCGACTATCAGCGAGAACTAGATGTAGGACATGATCGAGGCCCAACCCGTTTTTGATGCGGCGAACAGAGACTGTCGTGCCGAGCTCTTCCGCAGTGTACGTGTATTTGAGAGTCAGCCTGTTAATCTGACACTCTCCGACTGCATCGAGTTCCTGAGCTGAGAAACTGAACGTCCGCTGGTGGAACCGATCGTGCGAGAGGAAGACTCTGAATGTCTTACTCTGGTCGAGGTGAGGCTGGAATAGGTGGGCGTCGTCGAAGAGCTCCATGCCGAGAAAAGCTCCGGATTCGATTCCACGGCAGTCCATTGTGAACCTGACATCCGCTTCATTCGGGACGTCGATGCACGTCCAGAAAGAAAGACAGCGTCTACGAGGGGAGGCCACTTCCAAACGTGACATGTATGCGAACGTCAATGCACCATGAGATGGCTCGCTCACGTCGAAGGTAGGCAGTGCTTGAGAAAGCCTCAAGACCTTCAGGCGAGGATAGTGCTGGAGGACGTCAAGAAACGTCCTCGTTGTGTAGAGGGATTCCTCATCCTCGAGTGTTTTCGTGATTGTCAATTCAACCAGGTCCGGGGATGCGAATGGGAGTAGACTCCCCGGACCTGAAAGACTGAGGATACGAAGAGATGGAGCATCGAGTTCTCTAGTATGAATCTCTGGAACATTGGCTCGCGAGAGTCGAGGTATGGGGTTTCCGCGCACGTCGATGACCAATATCTCAAGTAAGGGGTATCCCGTAGGATCGACGCTGGCAATGTGTAAAAGGTCGGCAACGAAGCTGCCCTGGTCTGTCCTGATCGTCCGCGCGCGGGGTAGGTATGGTAAGACACCGTAGCACCCATGCGGATCGTCAACAGTGAGGGTGAGTGGTGTGGCACCAGCGCGTTTGACGCAGTGAGGTGCACGATGGGGGTTCTTGGCCGAATAAGCACTTTCAGCCCAGATATTTTGACAGCCGTGTAAAATCTTGAGTAAACGCGAGCAAACGTGGCCCCATCGTATCCAAGTACTGGCCGCTTCACCTGTGGCGGCAAGGGACAAGATCACACGCAAGAGTTCAGTTGGTAAACGCAGCAACGACGAGAGATGATCATTTCGGCGGGCGCTACAGGTGACCGATAGCGTGTGGAGTATAGATAACCTCCTGGCGTACTCTTTATCGAGTAGATCCGAGGCAAGAGGGCTTCCATATGTGGCGCTCAGGCGCATGCGTCGGTCCGAGAGATCAGTGAAGAGACTGCGACCCGTCTTGATCCAATCATCACTATTGGGTCGTCAATATGTTTGTTCAGCGCGCCGAGATGCTCGATATTGAAGAGACATACAAGGCGCGGCGGGAGTCTGTGAGGCTGGTCATGACGGCGAGAAGCGAGTTAGAAAGCGCCGACAGTCGTGGTGAGCTTCGATTGCGATGTCCTATAGATCGGGCCGTGTTGCCGAAGGCGCTCGGGAATAGCGCCCGCGTCGCTGCACTCGCACTCTTTCGTCTTCATCTCGATCCATGCTATCTCGTGCAGCAGGGTGACTGGCTGATGATTCACTGACGTCGTGTCAAAGGGCCAGGGGGAGTTTGCTATCCGGCCAGCACTTCTGTACGACGTTTGTTTCTCTTGGGGGGCCTGGTAAATATATGTTGACGTTGAGCGGTATCGCAACGAGCAAGAGTAAGAGCGGTAACGCGAGGGGCCTAGTATCATGATGTTCAACCCTGTTCAACCGGACCCGCGTTGCTGATGTGATTATTGAGCGCGATGCCGGTGAAACGTTGTATTGTTGCATATGTCGTCTAAGAAAGTTGTAGCGCAGCATGCCTGTGGACTGCAGATTACACGCAGTGGCATGCGTGAGCGGACATCTCATGCCGTCTACGCTCTGGATGACGATGCCGCGTCAGGTTTCAGGACCGTACGCCGCGCTTAGTGCCTCGCCGCCGCTCGCCCTATCCGGAACAACAGCGGGATCTCTGGCCGACGGAAGATGCGATAGATGAGAGCAAAAGAGACAGTTGGCGGATCTTGGCGACAAATTGAATAAAGATACTTTAAGCTAAGTCTCCGAACGGACATCGCGACAAGCGCGCCGAAAATCTTGACTGATGGGATGGGCCTCCGTGCCCGGTGAGCTATTCTCGATGAGCGGTATAAAGCCGCCCTACGAGATTCGGGGCCATTGAAAGGCGGAAGTAGAAGACAGTACGGGTTTTCTCGCCGCAAACATGCAGTGCCCTTGTGAGAGCATGGCGGGCGCTAGATGCTAGCCTGCGAGGGGAAAGCATGGCGAGAACACGACTAAGAAGCATGACGTGCGAAGACATGGGACGCCGTTGACAACGGTTTCGGCAGAGGCGGCCACCGTTTTGGAGGGCCAAGCGGCATGCAAAGACGGTTGCGAGTGCATTGAAAGCAAATGGCGTCTCGCAAGCCCATGAGGGGGAGGAGAAGGAGATGTAGACGAAAGGATAAATCCGCGTGGGACGGCGATTAGGCGCCCGTTGGAAGGGCGGGCTGGTGATGCCGGAGGGCAGGGACGGTCTTGGGCTGCTTTCCCTCCTGCCGCCATCGTTCATTCTCATGTCTGGTCCGCGCCATTCGTCGTCCGAGGAGGCAGACTCGTACCGGGACTCGTCCCCCTCGCCGTCTGCCGCCGCATCCAGCTACCTCGACCGCGCGCCCACACCGCAGACGGCCCATTTTCCGTCCGTCGAGTCGCCTCTGCTGCCCCAGTCCCCGGACAGCGCAGACGGCGCGACATCACCCACCCCGAGGACTCCCTCACGCTCCTTATCTGGCTTCCGGCCCTCGCCGCTCAACCCGAACGCGACCTCCTCCGTCCGCTCGAGGCCGCAATCAATCGGGAGCATGCACCTCTCCCGCCTCGCGTCGGAGGACTCGCAGGCGCTGGGCACCGCGGCAAATCGCGGCTCCATGGTCCTCTACCGCTTGAGTGCGTTCGAGAGCCTCGACTCGACCCAGGCACTCCTCCCGCCCCGCCCGTTGACGACCCACCAACGCGACTCGTACGCGAGCACGTCCGGCGATTCCGTCATCTCCTACTCGTCCGACTCCAAATATCCGACGGGCACAATCATGACACAACGCGGCGCATTGGTACCCTATGCGTACGACCCTCTGCTCGACGACGAGAAGGACACGAAGGACGACCTACTACACGACGCCTCTGCGCCTGACGGCAAGAGCTCATTCCCATGGCGCGGTATCCTCAACATGTCAGCGATCGGCATTCTCATCGCAGCCCTTCTCATGCTCTTCCTGGGATACCCCGTAATCACATATGGGAGGAATCACCCGTTCTCAGGACTCTTCGATTCGAGTGCGAACACAGCAACTGGTGTCGTGGACGGCCTATATCCCGTAGCAACACCATTTCCGATGATGACCCTCATCGACGACGCGACGCCGCCGGACAGCAGGACACTGACCGGCACGGACGGGAACGAGTACGAACTCGTGTTCAGTGACGGTAAGCGCCCGGGAACTCCTTGGCGCGCATCGCTAAATGTCAAACAGAGTTTGAGCAAGATGGGAGGACGTTCTACCCTGGCGACGACCCGTACTGGCAAGCCGTGGACTTGTGGTACGGCTCGACACACGATTTGGAGGTGCGTACATTGCGCAAACGTCTGAAGTTCGGCCTCTGACCGCGTCTACAGTGGTATGACCCCAAGATGATCACTACCACCGGCGGCGCTTTGCAAATCACCATGCGCAACGATTTGAACGAGCACGGGTTGACATACACGTCCGGTATGCCGAATTTACTCCATCTCATTTGTTCATATCGCTTAGATGAGGCGTACAGGCATGGTACAAACGTGGAATAACTTCTGCTTCACAACTGGATACATCGAGATCGCTATTACCTTTCCTGGACCCAACTCTGAAGCGCACGGCTACGTGAGTATTTTCCCTTCCCATCTCGGTCAACGCGTCCGCTTGTCCGGCCCGTTATCCCCGTGTACGAGCATCAATGTGATGGCTCCACCTCCATATGCGGGCTTCTCTTCGCGCTCATATCAATGACGTCGGGGCTGATCGTGTTCGCAGTGGCCTGGTGCATGGACGATGGGCAACCTTGGCAGGCCAGGATATGGAGCTACGACGGACGGGACGTGGCCGTACACCTACAGTGAGTGTTGGCGCAGCTAAGTTATTTAAACCCACTCATCGTATCGCATCAGACGCTTGTGACGTCGGTACATTCCCCAACCAGACGTGGGCAAACGGCACAGGCCCTTCGGCGGCAATACACAGTGACGAGTCGAAGGACGACTACAACTTCGAGTTGTCATGGCTCCCTGGTCAGCGTCTCAGTGCGTGCACGTGTGACGATGGCGAGCACCCCGGTCCTTCGAACAACGTCGGCCGCGGTGCACCCGAGATCGATATCCTTGAGCAGGAGCATAACAAGACGAAGAATGCGCTTGGTGGTGTTGTTTCGCAATCCATCCAGCTCGCGCCCTTCAACCACGATTACATCTACGCCAACGATACGACCGACGAGATCCTCGTCGTGAACCCGGCTATCACGCAGATGAACAATTACAGGGGTTCGGCCGTGCAACAGGCTATCTCACAGTTGACGCATGTGCCGGACGATAACTTCCAAGGATCGGGCAACGTATTCCACAAATACGGCTTCGAGTACTACAGCGATCCAAAGGATGCGAGCCAGGGATACGTCAGTTGGACGCAGGATAGCACGATGACAGGACGAGTTGGCGCGGCTGCGTTTGGACCTGATCCGTTACCGGACGGTAGTGGTGTCGACCAGCGATTGATGTCTGTTGAGCCCATGGTATGTCTTCGCTACCGTCGAGGCCGAGCTTGAAACTGATTACCGGCGCAGGCGATCATCCTAAACATGGGTCTGGCCGAGAACTGGCAATCCATTCAGCTCGACACAATGGTTTTCCCAGCTTACATGCTCGTCGACTATGTACGCGTATACCAGCGCAAGGGCGCAAGCTCGGATAACGTCAACATCGGCTGTGACCCCCCGAACTTCCCGACGAGTACGTCCTGCTCCGCTTGGCGAAGTGTACAGCATAGACTAATCGCTTCGTGTAGTGAAATACATCGAGGATCACATCACAGCTTACACCAATGCCAACCTGTCATTCTGGGAAGGAGATGCGTCTGTCGGCGGTGCAGGTTACACCAAGCCGAAAAACAGCCTGTACTCTGGCTGCTAATCGATTCTTCGCTCATCTATCTAACCCCACCCTCACCCTCATCTCGCACACCGTCCTACTGCGGAACACTCTCATCCCTACCTCGCACTCCATCCTCTACGTACCCATCCTCTACGCACCCGCATCTGCATCATTTCGTCGTCTTGTTCGCTGCATATATCGTCGTTCTCGGCTTACCCACTCGGCATTCCCATTATCGTACACTATATCCCCTGTCCTCGGTTGTCTGTTCTCTCAGTCTTGTCAGTCCCTCTGCCTGCCTTCTCACGGACCTTTTACGGCTGTGTTCCTATATACTCCGACTGTGTATCTTACCTCCTCTCGAGCCGTAAACAAAGTACAAGCGGCGCGTCGCTCTTTCACCCCCAACTTTTAGTACCATCGTCAGCATACCCGTACTCGACCCCTCTCGTTCAATTCACTTTCATGGAGTACTATACGCGGATATGGAGATGGACTGTTGCTCGCTCTACTGATTGGCAACAGATGTTACTCTCGTATATCCTTGTTTCTCACCCGTACACGTACACAAGGTTTCTCATGTTATCGCACAGTTTCGTTATCGCACAGTTTCAAAATCTCTCCTTCGTAGCGAATTGAGAGAGTGCTCCAGTATGTACCACAAAATGTCTACCTAGGCGTAACGCAGAGCAAACGGCTGAATATATTCGAGCGTCACATGCATGCTGACCACACCAGTCCGCGATCGCGTGCCACATCCCGATCAGCGTCTTCGACCCGGACGTCACCTCCGCGCTCACTCCCTTTGCCTCCTCGCTCGCAATGTCCTCCGTAACATCCGCAGAAACGCGCGCGCGTCGGCGCGCTGAAGTGGACCGCGCAACTGAGATTCAGACCCGCGCCGCAATCATTGTACGCTCCTAGTCATCCTCGCCGGACGGAAGGCTGAGGCTTCATGTGTGTAGGGAGGCGCACAGTATGGATTGGTGGGTGCAGGTGCAGCCACGATTGCACACTATACTTGGCCAGCATTTCGGTACGTATGACTGTGTGTACTGGGTTCCTGGAAGGCTCAGAGTCGTAGCAAGCAGACGTTAGCAGGGAAGGCTTTCTTGGTGTCAATCAGTGCGTATTCAGTCTCTCTCAAGACATACATCAGCATTGATGGCCTATTTGCAGTCTCCATTTACGGCTTCGTAATGAATGCCGAAAGCGCATTGATGGCGCACGAACACACCCAGCGCAAGGTCGACGGCGACATGCGCCGCGCTGCACGCGCCGATCTCACCTCAAGAGGAATTGTGCCTACTGAAACGGAGATCTTGAAGTGGCAGCGGGAGCGGGAAGCTCCGTCAAATTCGACACCTTAAATGTCACCGTGTTGGGTACTTCATAGAGATTTCCGCGAGGGAAGGTCAGAGGCAAGAAAGTGGATCATTATATTTTATTTTCGCATTGCTACTAGCGTCCGGAATGGAGGATGTTTGTCTACGTTATATACAAGATGAGTGTGCGAGATGCGAGTCTGACGTGCCAGCGTTTCTGTGATTCGTGCGGTACGTATATGTGTGAGGTTTGGAGTAGAGACGAGGATCTGGGACAGCTGTAGCGAGGAAGAAGCAAGGGGACATTGCGAGGGGATCACAGCAAATACGACAACGTTCAAATCGGGCAGTCCATGTCTGCATTCCGGTTAGTAATCTTAGTATCCGCCCTGCGAATATTGGGGGCCCGCGCCGGGCGGCGCCAGCATTTGAGTGGGTGGACGAGGCGGCGGACCCGGGTACGCGTACTGCGGTTGCGAGTTCAGAGACGGCGGTGCAGGCGGGAGCGCCGGAGGTTGCTGTTGCAGCGCGAGATGCTGCGAACTTGATCGACGCGAGGTCGGAGGGCCGGACTCATATGCGGACGCTGGCATGTGTCCGGAGGGCGATGATCCTGGTGGGGGAAGAGGAAGGCTGGGACGGCCGGAGGGTACGCGCTGGCCCGGAGGTGGTGGGACAGATGATGGTATCGGTGGGCCGAGCGATAGTGACGATGGGCTGGCCGAAGGCAAAGGAGGTGGTGGTGGAATGCCGTCGAACGACGACGACGGTGCCAGAGGGCCTGGAGGGCCTGGGGGCGTAGGCAGAGAATGCGATCCTTGCAGCGGAGGAGCGCCCTGAGGCAGAGGAAGCGGTCTCGATCCGGGCACCTGCGTGGGTGGCATGACATGCGAAGCCGGCGGAGGGAGGGCGCCATTCTGATAGCCCATTGGAGGCGGTGCCGAGTGTGGCACAGGAGGAAGCGTAGACGGAGGTGGTGGTGGATACTGCACGGGTGGTGCCGAAGACGGAGGAGGCGGCCCGTATCCTGGCTGCTGTGGAAAAGGAACTCCAGGCGGTGTCCCGTAGGACTGCATTTGGCTGAGATGCCCAGGCGCTGTTATTGACGAGGGCAGAGAAGGCGCAGGCGACTGGGCTGGAAGATGCGCGAAGGACGAGCTTGGCATAGGCGAGTGCGAATGGCGTGGCCCTCTACTGGGAGGAGGCGCTGGTGTACCCGGGACCGATGGTGCATAACTGGACATAGACATTCTTGAAGGCGGTGGCTGGAAGCCAGTCATATCGGGTGCCATCTGTGCCGCTTGCATGAAGCTCGACGGTTCTGTGCCCGGTCCCACGGGCACAAACCCAGATGACGCAACAGGCATGCTGTAGCGGGGACGCCGTGCAGGAGGCGGCTGTTGAGAGAAGCTCGATGAGGGAGGTAGCGGAGCTGCACCAGTTTCGTAGGGAGCTTGATATGGCGTATATGGTCGAGCTGAAGCATCAGACATCCGTTGTGTCCTCTGATAATGACTAGGGCGTCCGTCGATGGTCGGTCCTTGGTCAGAATGCCAGCTTTGAGTAGACATCACAGATCCCATCGTCCCATTGTACCCGGTGTAATCAGTGTTCAGAGGCTGTCACGGAGTCAGTAACTCAAAAATGACTACATTCCCAAGCAGACATACAGGATACGTGCTGCTTCGTCTTGCATGATCGCCCACGCCCAGCTCGCCGAAGTCATTGACAAGACGATCCACCGAACCTTCCCTGATCTCCGCTCTCGGCTCATACGAAGGCTGGTAAAGAGGTATCCTAGCAGAGGAGTTTGACGGCCGTATCGTCTCATAACCATTGCGAGAGCTACTGGCGTTGAGCTGTGGCTCGTAGCCGCCATCGCTCGAGTAGGAATCGTCCGCAAGCGGCATGAACTCGCCGGTGCCACCATACTCCCGCTGATACGCCGGGTTTATGGGTACAGCCTTTTTCTGCGGTGGAGGCGCCTGTCGAGATGATTGATTCAGAAGGGATATGGAAGCCGTCGAAAGAAGACGCACGTTGGACCAAAAAGTCAACTCGAGATATACCTCTCCACTGTAGCGATCTTTATGGTTGAGCGTAAACCATTCTAGGCGATGTTCAGCATACTCAGATATGACGGCAAAACAGTACGTACCGTCTGTCTCGCCCTTGGTGAACACCTCAGTCAAGTCGACCTTGCAATCGCCAATAAGGTCTGGCTCTCTGGGATCGTCCGCAAAGCAGCACATGTGCATCATCTTCCCGCCCTTGATCTTCCGCGGTCGACCATCCTTCGGAGGCGGTGGAGGCGCATCACCGTCGTTCAGACCCGCCGTCGCGTCATCCTCGAAGATCGTGAACCGGACTTCCTCATCCCACTCTGGGTGCTGGCCGCCGCGCTTGATGACCTTCGTCCGTCGCGTCTCCCCGTTGAACTGGACGGTGCAGTATGGCGCCTGCTTGCCTAGATGGCGCTTGTTTGGTAGATTTCGCTGGGGCGCGGATTAAGCTGTCAAACTAGACGCGGGGTAGAAGTAGCGGGCGTACTGCTTTGAGTATCACAACGATGAGCGTGCCGATCTCAGACGGGTCGCTTGACATCGCGAGTAGAGTCGTAGTGGTGGTGGTTCAGCGTCAAAGCGCGCTCATGAAGGCGGAGGCAAGACAGTCCACAGCCACTTGAACCGCGGCCACGGGTCCGCTGACGCCGAACGTTCAACAAGTGGGGACGAAATTCCAATCAACGCGACAACGTCATGTTCAGAACGCGACTTCGTCCCTCACCACCATGTTACCCAATAAGAGGCCGTTGCCATCTGCGTCTCGATGACTTGTGGGCAGACTATACCCAATGGTAGTTGCTACGATGCGCCATACTGGTAGTCGATCTATAAGCTTGGGCACTCGAGACTCTCCTCCAGATCACCATTGTACATGTTCTCCCTATTACTAGGCCTTCGCCCACACCGTTGACAGACGCCAATCATAATGAGGATTGTTTATTAAAGCGCGAGC